GCCTGCCTGAGGCTGAATGAAGCTGCACGGGTCCTGGGGTGAAACAATCGGGCCCTCATGAAAATCCTGGTAGCTTTGTCTCCAAAACTTTCCTTAGATCTGCACTCAACCGAGGGCATCCTGGCAGATAGTCCCAGTTGCCCAACTTCCGGTCTTTCAGAGGCTCTGCGAACTGTAAGGCAAGGGACCAGTTCTCTGTGATCTTGGAGTCCACCCAGGGCTCTGTCTCCGCGCTCGGCTTCAGGTGGACGTCGCCGCCTCCTCATCGTCTTGGTTTCAAACGGTTTCGTTCCAAATGCTATTTTAATGCCCAGTTTCCATTTCTCTCTGCTTGGTAACCCGCTCCTCAAATTCTCTCCAGCCTCAAACCCCATCCCGCCAGGGGGCGTCCCTGGAGCAGTGGAGAGAGCAAGGGTTCTGGATACAACTTGAGACAATTTGGAGCTAGGGGTAAAATGAGATTTCGAGACCCCAAGTGTTAACCTTTGGGAAAGCTTGGTGGGAGAGAAAAGCAGCCCGGGGGCAGGACTCTCTTCCCAACCATCTACTGAGTCTTCCCTGGAGCGCTCTCCCTCCAGAGAGGCGCAGAAAGGAGGCTCAGGAGAGGCCTTCGATGTTCCCACGCACTACCCCGCCCCACTCTATGCCCACAGGCCACGACTTGAGAAAACATTCCTCAAGCGGAGCAGAGAGGGAGCAGTCCAGGGATCGCTTCCTTGCTACACTGAGCAAAAGCTGCCTAGACACATGTCTTCCCTGGTCGGGATCCTAAGGATGCTTTCTAATCTTGAGCCCGGAAAAACTTAGGAAGGGATCCTGTGGGACTTTTGGGGGAACAGAAGCCAGCAAGCCATTTTTGAAAGGCCCTTCTAAGGTCCCTGAGTTGGAGTAGCGACACCCCCAGCTCCGGGTCTCCCGGTTTGCTCCCAGGCTCAGTCCAGCCCAGCCCAGTCCTGGAGTCTGCACCTGGAGGAGTATCTGAGGATCCTATTGGTCATTCTTACTGAGCATTGGAGGCTTGGTTCCAAAATTTAAGTTCAAAATACAGAATCAAGGCTGGAGTGTGGCGCGCATGCCTTTAATCCCACTGCTGGGGAGGCAGAGGCAGACAGATCTCTATGATGTTCACATCAGCCTGGTTCACACAGAGAGTTGGATCCCAGCCTGGGCTACATATTAAAGATCCTGGCTAACAAACAAAAACCACAGAATCAAAACAAGTCCTGTTTGCTTTCAACTTTAAAGATGAGCAAACTTGGGCACAGGGTCTCTCATGAATTATCTAAATCCTAGCACAATAATGTAGGAAGCTGTGTGTACTGGGCAGGCTTATGGCTCTCTCTCTCTCTCTCTCTCTCTCTCTCTCCCTCCCTCCCTCCTCTCCTCTCCTTTCCTCTCCTTTCCTCTCCCCCTCTCCTCTTTTTTCTTTTCTTTTTTTCAGCTGATCAGGAAACACCTGCTAGAACTCTTTGTTTTCTTAACATTCTCTGAGTTTCTGGGGGCTTCAAAGATAAAACTGGATTTTGCCCTAGATGAGGGCAACCAGAAAACACACGGGTTTAGTCTGGCTATGATGGGGATTGTTCCAAAGCATGGTGGAAGCTCACATATTGGAAGGTAGGAAAGCCAGGTCTCAAACCCAAAGGCTTCTGATTTTTACTCAAGTGCTTAGTCCACTGTTGGGAGTACTGGGAGATAGGAAAATGGAAAAGCACCCCAAACCCCACTTCATTACAGTCCCTTCTTTCTCAATTGGATATTGCAGCAACATTTGTCACAACGTAATTGCATCTTACTGGATTGATTTAGTGTTGATATGGAAGCTCCATGGGGGGTGAACTGCATCTAGATTGTTGAAAGCTGGATTTTCTGACCTAGCCCAGTGCCCAATATAGCCTGGGCTCAGTAATATTTTTGACTAAATCATGAATTGCAATAAAAAAATCTTGGAACAGAATAATATTGGCAGAAAACATGGTGCCCTAGGGAAGTGTGAACACCATGAGACTCAGAGAAAAGCAGGCTGAGCAGAAGTAGGGGACAGCACTCTCCTCAATAGCCCACTGTGTGAAGCTCCTGATCTTTCAAGAAGACACTGGAGGGAAAGAAGGGCGTTAGTCTCCCAGGTGTGCTGCAAAGGCTAGAGACTAGTCCATTCCTGTAGGACTGGGCCTGCACCTGTGTCTCTGCAGCCAGCCTAGCTTTGTGGTTGAGATTCAGCTGGACCAGGGAAAGCCCCATGATGACTCGGCTTTGCCCTACCGGCCACCTGGCTAACTCATCTAGAGTGTTAGTCATAGTGTAAAGGAAGACCCCACAGCTATGAAAAGCAAACTAGATTTCCAAGTATTAACCAACAGCTGGGGGTGTGGGGGCTGGTTTAACACCGGTGACCCCTGTTCAAGGTGAGTCAGAGGGGTAACCCAAGAAGAAAGCATGCTCTTCAGTTAGAAAGAGGTGTTGGGGCCAGGAAAGCAAGAGGCCTGTACTTGGACGAGTTTTTGTGCTACATGGCGGTGGAATATTCAGTCTTATTCTTAGTGCCCGCGGGTGCCAGGAAAAGAATGCAGGATGGTGGGTGTTTGTGAAGGGGGCCGGAGTGGGCGAAGAGCTGTGGGGTCTGGGCAGCAGGTCTAGAGTGGATCGGGTGCTGGTGCTCCGCAGAAGTGCTCCTGTTCCATGAGGCTGAAGTTGAGCCCCACTTTACCGGGGAGAGGATGAAACAGAGCTGCTGTCTGGGGCTGCCTCCTGGCCTCAAACCCAGACTCCAATTCAGCACCCTACCCAAACCTCACACACGCGCTACCTGCTGATGGCAGGGGAGCGGCCCTAGGGATTGGAGAGCTCAGACTCGGGAGGTTCACACTCGGCCAAACTGGAGCCCGCAGGGCCGCCGGCCACGTGCTCCTGTAATGAAGGCCCAGACTGTACACTCTGGAAAATTTACAAAACCTTTCACTCAAGTCCGGCCCCTGAAGAGGCAGAGGATATAGTCAGGAGAGTAACTACAGAAATCTCCACTCCGGCAATAAGCTTACATTTTTACCCAAAGTTTGGATGTATTAAAATGTGCCCGATCTTACTTAAATTTCTTTAAAAAACAGAGATGGAAGGAGAGGGATGATCAGTTACTTCAAAATAAGACCCCTTTTGCGACCCAGGCGAGTCTGGGTGGTGCCTTCAGATGAGCGCGGCGGTTGGCTTTGCCTGCTCTTTCCTGTGGTTCCCTGGATCCAGTGCCCCCCCCCCGCGCGCCCAGCTCTCTAGACACATTGACCAAAGTGCAGTTGATGGGGTCTGAGTTCATCCTGAGAGCGCCCCCCACAGAAGTCCCTGGAAAAGAGGAGCACTGAGCTCTGCTTCGAACTTGTCTTTTGCAAATCAAGACCCGGCGCAGCTCCGGGCTTAAGTCAGGGTTGCTGCCCCAAAGCCGCAGTGGGGGCCCCCACGAAAATGCGAGCCCAAATGGGAGACCAGAGGTGCATCAGAGCCTCCCCTCCCTTCGAGACGGAGGTAGGTGGTGGGGAAAGCTAATGTTAGTACAGCCGTTGGCTTTGTGTTGAGGGAGTAGAGAGCTCTCTTCGAGGATTGAAATCTTAAAAAGCAAATAAAACAACTTTCCATACGATAATTGCTATTAATGGAAAAGGAGTCTACCCTGCTGAATTAAGTAGCTCAAAACTGCCTGTTCATTATCAGCAGTTCTCTCACTACACGATGAGGAAAGAAAATGTGAAAACAAAAACTAAAATCCAGATGCGTCCTTGACTGGCCGAAGTGTCTCCGAGGCACCTGCAGGACCGGGAAGCCCTCCGCCTTCCCAGCCTCTAGCGCGCCAAGGAAGCTCAAACAGCCCCAAAGAAAGAAAAACAAAAGCAAACAACGACCAAAACGTTTAAATTCCAAGGAAGAAAATGGGAAGTGGTCTCAAAAGCTACAACATGCACCGGTAGGCTGGGCGTCCCACTAGGCTGCGGGTCCCGGCCTGGAACCAGCAACACAACTGGCGCCCCAGCCCCGCTGGGCAGCGCAGCCCACAGCTCCCCCTCGCCAGGCGCCCAAGGACCCTCAAGGCTCCGGGGCTCACACTTGAAGCCTGGGAACGCGCAGACAGGAAACCCACTTCCTCCTAAGCAGTTTCTTGCTCGCTGGATGAGAGGCGCCCAATTGAAGCAGAATGATCCTCATCTACTAATATCCAGCGTGGCCACAAAGCGACTGGCCATTTACGCCGCCACTTTAGACAAAGATATTTGGTTATTCCCGGGGAAAGCAAGTGCACTTTTGCATGGCTCAGCTCCGGGAGGAGGCGAGCCTCAGCCCAGCCTACCGCCCCCTGGGTATTTCGCCTCCTCCCGGACAGCGGGTTCCACCCGGGTTCAGGCTCAGTTCCACTCCGCAAGGGACCTGCGGGCACTCAGGCGGCTTCCTGCCGGGGCCCTGCCTGAAGCATCAGAGGGGAACACAGCGGAGCCCTGGGTTGGGGTACTAGGACTAGGATGTCCTCGGGAAGTCTTCACCAGCCCCAGAACCCGGAATATCCAGGCCATGGGCAAGGGTCAGGGCCACCAGGTTTGTTCAACAAATGGGACAACTTCAGTGGACTCTCACGTTAATTCCCCGCATTCTTGTCCTCCCAGCTCAGAAGGCCAGTGGTGTTCTTGCCTGGGCCGGCAAAAGGGGTGGAGAAACGGAGCGGAGGGGTGGGGGGGGGACTGGGGGGCTGGCCCGCTATGAAGCCAGGAACTGGGGGAGGGGGGTGCGGGGATCCGTGACAGCCTCCCGGAGGCAGTCGTTCCCTTACTCAGCTCCCCCTCCGCCCGCCGGGATTCTCTTGGGCGAGGGGAAAGGGGGCGGGGAGCAGAGGTGTCCCTCTGACGGCGGCAGAAGAGGCAGACAGACTGACAGACACACAGACCAACAGTACGGCCCCAGGGTTCGTCCCCAGACTAGCACGCTCGTTTGGTGGCGACTGGGGCTCGGCGCGCGGCGAAGCCCGATGTGGTCCGGAGGCAGTGGGAAGGCGCGGGGCTGGGAGGCCGCAGCGGGAGGGAGGAGCAGCCCCATCAGGCTCAGGTGAAAGCCCTTACCCCGTCGCTCTGCCCCCTCTCCCCCAAGACCAGTCCCTGACCCGGGAACCCCGACCGAAATGGAATGCGGTTCCACTTTGTAACTCCTCAAGTTGGTTGCAAAGCAGCATTCACCTTCCTTCCTCCTCACCATCCCTCCTCCTAGCTTACTCTCTAACCCACCTCTTGCCCTCCCGCTCGCCGTCGCCTCCTCCCTTTCCTCCCCTACCTCCTCCCCGCGCGCCGCCAGCACCCCACAAAAATGGGGGTGGGGGTGTCCAGGGGAGGGGGGGGAGTAATGCTTTGGGGCTTCGTCTCTCTCTCTCTCTCTCTCTCTCTCTCTCTCTCTCTCTCTCTCTCTCTCTCTCCTCTCTCAGACCTAAAAATCCTGACAAGTGAAACTTAAAGGTGTTTACCTTGTCATCAGCATGTAAGCTAATTATCTCGGGCAAGATGTAGGCTTCTATTGTCTTGTTGCTTTAGCGCTTATGCCCCGCCTCTGGTGGCTGCCTAAAACCTGGCGCCGGGCTAAAACAAACGCGAGGCAGCCCCCGAGCCTCCACTCAAGCCAATTAAGGCGGACTCGGTCCACTCCGTTACGTGTACATCCAACAAGATCGGCGTTAAGGTAACACCAGAATATTTGGCAAGGGGGAAAAAAAAAAGTAGCGAGGCTTCGCCTTCCCCCTCTCCCTTTTTTTTTTCCTCCTCTTCCTTCCTCCTCCAGCCGACGCCGAATCATGTCGATGAGTCCAAAGCACACGACTCCGTTCTCAGTGTCTGACATCTTGAGTCCCCTGGAGGAAAGCTACAAGAAAGTGGGCATGGAGGGCGGCGGCCTCGGGGCTCCGCTAACCGCGTACAGACAGGGCCAGGCGGCCCCGCCGGCCGCGACCATGCAGCAGCACGCCGTGGGGCACCACGGCGCCGTCACAGCCGCCTACCACATGACGGCGGCGGGGGTGCCCCAGCTCTCGCACTCAGCTGTGGGGGGCTACTGCAACGGCAACCTGGGCAACATGAGCGAACTGCCGCCTTACCAGGACACCATGCGAAACAGCGCTTCGGGCCCCGGATGGTACGGCGCCAACCCAGACCCGCGCTTCCCCGCCAGTAAGTGAGGCCGCCCCACCGCGGGGCTGCGGGCTGGGCACGGGAGGCGCGCCGAGTGTCGCCCGCAAGGTGCGGCGCCCGCCGGCTGCGCACTACATCCTTGTGGGCAGCCGGGCAGCGGCGCCTGGGAGTTGGGGCTGGAGCTGGGGATTTGTGCCCCTGCCGGGTTAGGGTTTCAAGAGGCACTTGGTAGCGCTGGGGTCCTGAGGACAGGTGCTCACACCTCCAAGCACCACCAACCCGCAGCTCTGCTCTGCGCAGAGGACCTCAGGGAACCGAGGGCGGCCAGCCGGGAGCAGAGGGCTCTGGGCCCGCAGAGCTTGGAAAGCCGAGGCCTGGCCTGGAAGGCGACCGCTCGGCTGGGACGCGCTGGAGCGCCGGGTCCAGCACTTGGGGCAGGACGGGAGGGCGGACAGCTATGAGGAAGCTCTAAAAGGGCCGAATAGCTGTCTTCCTAGGGGCCAACAGGAGAGAAGGCAAGAGGCAGGCTTCTAGGGGCTGGAGCTTTCGGAAGTGAAAACTCCCTTCTCCTAACCTCCCAAAGTTGGGGTCTTCCGTCAACCTGAACTCTCCCCATCTGTGGGCTTCCAACCGGGCTTGGACACCGAGGGAGATGAGGCACTCTTTCCCCACTGCACATTTTGGGTCCAAAGAGGCTCTGAAAACCGAAGAAGGGTAGGCAGGGTTGAAGCTGGGGGAGCTCTCCCTTACGCTCTTCGACAGCACTGCCTGGGCCAGGCACTAGCGACCCCAGCCAGCTGGGCCGCGCTCTTGGGAGGAGCTTTAGGCGGCCTAGGTGAGGAGGATGCCGTCCAGGGCTGGGGCGGGCGGGCCAAGGGCGCGGAAAGAAGGCTTGGCCTGGCCCGGCCCTGGCCGACGCTGTGCGTTTGTCGCTTGCAGTCTCCCGCTTCATGGGCCCGGCGAGCGGCATGAACATGAGCGGCATGGGCGGCCTGGGCTCGCTGGGGGACGTGAGCAAGAACATGGCCCCGCTGCCTAGTGCGCCCCGCCGGAAGCGCCGGGTGCTCTTCTCCCAGGCGCAGGTGTACGAGCTGGAGCGACGCTTCAAGCAACAGAAGTACCTGTCGGCTCCCGAACGCGAGCACCTGGCCAGCATGATCCACCTGACACCCACGCAGGTCAAGATCTGGTTCCAGAACCATCGCTACAAAATGAAGCGTCAGGCCAAGGACAAGGCGGCACAGCAGCAACTGCAGCAGGACAGCGGCGGCGGCGGCGGCGGCGGCGGGGGTGCGGGATGCCCGCAGCAGCAGCAGGCTCAACAGCAGTCGCCACGCCGGGTGGCCGTGCCTGTCCTGGTGAAAGACGGCAAACCCTGTCAGGCAGGCGCCCCGGCGTCGGGAGCCACCAGCCTACAAGGCCACGCACAGCAGCAGGCTCAGCAGCAGGCTCAGGCTGCCCAGGCGGCTGCAGCAGCTATCTCAGTGGGCAGCGGCGGCGCGGGTTTGGGCGCGCACCCGGGTCACCAGCCTGGCAGCGCAGGTCAGTCTCCGGACCTGGCGCACCACGCCGCCAGCCCCGCAGCACTGCAGGGCCAAGTCTCCAGCCTGTCCCATCTGAACTCCTCGGGCTCGGACTATGGCACCATGTCCTGCTCCACCTTGCTATATGGTCGGACCTGGTGAGAGGACGTGGAGCCGACCCTAGCCCAGCGCGCTGCCTCTTCGCTTTCCCTCTGCCCGCCACAAAGACCACCATTCACCTGCTGCTCCACGCTCTTCTACTTTTCTTAAGAACCTGTTCAAATTAAACCAAGGAAAAGTACACAAAGACCAAACTGCTGGACATCTCCTCTTCACCACGACTACCACCTTTCCTTCCTTCCTTCCTTCCTTCCTTCCTTCCTTCCTTCCTTCCTCCAGAACCTGTAACAGTGCATGAAGTAGAACAAGTCATTAACAAACGGTCCCTCCACTCTTCCTCCTCCTTTCTCCTCATTTCCCTTCCCCTTTCCTCCTTCCTTCCTTCCTTCCTTCCTTCCTTCCTTCCTCCTTCCTCCTTCCTTCCGTCCTTCCTTCCTTCCTTCCTCCTTCCTTCCTCCTCCTCCCTCCCTCCTTCCTCCTTCCTTCCTTCCTCTTTCCTTTTCTTCCTCCTCCTCTTCCTCCTCTTCTCTTTCCTCTTCCTCCTCTTCCTCTTCTTTTTTCTCCTCCTTCCTTCTTCCTTTTCTCTTTCTTATGTAAATTTTGTGAATTTTTTAAAACATCAAAAGAAAATAAAAATAGCCAAGCAAATTCAATCCTTCATGGATTCTTTAAACAGAGAAAGACATAGAAAGAACAAATTTGAGGGTGTCTTTACAGTGATGCAAATGGGTTCCTATGCTTGGGTGGGGCACAGTTTTGGAGCTGAGAGGACTATAAAGACAAATGGAACTCTTCCCTCTGGGTCCACTCTGCCTGCAAAGAGAACTTGCTTGTAAATACCAGGATATTTTTCCCCAGGGGAGAGGACAGGACCTGGGGAGAGGAAAGATTCTTCAATATACCCACTTGAAATTGACACAAAGGAAGTGCCCCTCCCCCATGCCCTCTGGCCTTATAGGTCCAGTTCAGGATGGCCCCTCAGAAAATGGTTTTAGGTTTGATGTGAACTTGTAGCTGTAAAATGCTGTCAAAAGTTGGACTAAATGCCTAGTTTTTAGTAATCTGTATATTTTGTTGTAAAAAGAAACCCACTCTCAGTCCCCAGCCCCTCACATTTTTTAAGGGCATTGACAAACCTGTGTATATTATTTTGCAGTTTGGTATTTGCAGAGTCAGTCTTTTTTTTTTCTGTTGTAACTTATGTAGATATTTGGCTTAAATATAGTTCCTAAGAAGCTTCTAATAAATTATACAAATTTAAAAAAATTCTTTTTCTGATTAAAAACCTTTCTTTTTGTTTGGTTTTGATTTGGCTTTAACTGGATTGGGGGGGCAGGGATTGAGAGGGCTCAGCATTGGGCCTGATGGGGTCCAAATTGTTTGTGTTTGAGCTTCAAGGATTCTGACCTAGCTAAGGAAGCCAGGCCCAGAGTTTCTGTCCTATAGAAGAGAGAATTTTGTTCGGCCTTGGGCTTGAGTGGAACCAAATCTTGGGTAATCCTGAGAGTCTTTGATAGAAAAGATAAAACTAAACTACTTCTCTAGGAGGGGGAAGTAAAGGAAGAAGGGGAGAAAATAGAAAACAAAAAAATGAAGGACTCATGCATGTTCTTACACATCTGAGATAATATTTGAAAACTTGGGGCAGGCCTTCCATCTGAAACAGCCCTAAAGGAGCTATCATCTTTAGTGAAAGGATTGCTTCTGTACATTTGAAACGCGAACCTATATTTCTACTTCCCATCCAACCTCTTCACAGTTAGAATATGGTTGGCCAGGCCACTGTTTTCAGAAATGAAATGGTTCTGGGTTTTATTTCAATGCTCTAAAGCAAGATCTCTGCTCAGGGATCTGCAGTGCCCCTCTACCCTGGACCCTCCTCCCTGGTTTCTCAGGGCTGCTCTGTCTGTTTGCTGGACTGCAGGGCCAGCCCAAGGACACCTCTGGCAGGACCCTGGGGGCTGAGGTTTCACTCTGTTTTCAGCACTTCCTGTCTCTGGGCTCCTCAGTCTTTGTAACAAGGAATCTTCTTCCTACTTCCAGCTTTCCACCCTCTTCCCCCAAGCAAAATCAAAATAATTTTAAACACCTTTTAATCTCTGATTCCCCCAATCTCCTTCTTAGATGTATGTGAATTGGGGAAACTATTGAGGTTATGGTGGGGGTGGAAGCCAGTGGTGGAAGAAGTGATTTAAAACAGAGAGAAAAACTAATTCCTTGGATGAGCTGTTTCTGAGTCACCCCTGATAAACCTGCAGAGAAGGCAGCCCAGTAGGCTGTGGGCAGGTGGCCCTCGGGTCCCACATGTTCTCTGTTCCTGGAAGGCAGCTGATTCACTACTGGCGAGGACTCGCTCCCCTACAGATGTTCAACTTTATTCTTTTTTCTTCTCTCCTTTCTCTTCTTTCCGTCCTATTCTGTTTCCCACTTTTCTTGGATCTCTACTGCACCTTCACCCAGCTTTTTTTTTTTTTTTTTTTAAAGTCTGTCAAGAAACTCCCACCTTGAACCCAGAGCATTTTTCATGGACTTTCTGGGGACTTTTACCCTGAGGTGCCGATAGAATTCAGTTAGCCTGAGCTTTCTTTCTCTGAAGCCCAGTCCTGCCTACAGGCTTCTTATATCTTGAAAGTAATCTGATATTGAGAAAGAATGATTGCTTGGGTCCAGGGAGTGACCAGGATGTGTGTGTGTGGGGGGGGTAGGAGCTCTCAGCAGATGTCATATTTTGGAAAAACGAAACCAGGAAAGTTTAAAGTTTTTTTTTTTTTTTCTTTTTAATGGGCATAAATGGTCCCAGAACACACCACCGGCAGGCTGTTCCGGGCAGCTGGGTACTGCAGCTGCTATTTGGCTCTAAGGTCTGGATTCAGTCAGCCTCAGCACAAACCTGGACCCGGCACTGCTGGCTGGCCGGCTCTAGGCACCACCTTGCCGGCCTCCCAGTCGCAGTTTTACTGTCTGTAGCACTCTCTCGGTCTCACCATCATTGCACTGGATGGAGTTTCTATCAAATACATTATTCTCCAGCCGGTTTAGTCTGAAATCTGTTTACTTGTCCCCGGAATAGGTGAATCCCACGAGTTCTGTGGCTTGGTGGTACAGACAGGGCTTTAGCGGCTCCTAGCCGTCAATCATTCCTGTTCCTCCAGTTCCTCCCTAGGGGACCTGTCTCAGCTGTGGAAGCAGCCTTGAGAAGCGGACTTACAAGTCTCTTCAGGGAAATAGGTGCATGCTGGGCTCAGGGCAAGAGCTTTCCACAGCTTGGGAACACCCCCCACCAATACAACCCGTCAGCATCTGGAAGCGGACTGCGGTCCCTGCCTTAGGTGTCCAACAACTCAGGCCTAGGTCGGTTCTGGCGTCCAGGATGAGAAATAAGCATTTTGAGGGCACCACTGGCATTGAGGTCTTTGAAGAGAAAAACTTCACCACTGAGGGGGTAGAACAGTTGATTTACAGTTTCCCTAGAAACTGCCCCTTCCGAAGCACCCCATCCAACCCCAGACCGTCTTGGCTCCAGCAGTGGGGGGGATTTTGAAGAAAGCATCCCCCGCTTTGCTTCTCTCCCCCACCTCACCCCAACCCTGCCATGCAAACACGAGGACTTTCTCGAGAGCCCTGGAGAGCCGCTCTAGTGGCGTCGGGGCCTGAAACCCCAGGCTTGGCTTGTTTGATGTTTAGCATCCCAAAGCGGCTCCCCACCCCCGCCCCAGCCTGGGAACCCCGAGCTGTGGGGCCGGAGAGGAAAGGAAGCAGTTCTCTCAGCTGGCAGGCGGTGGACTGGGCTGGGCTCAGAGAAGCAGCGAAAAATCCGCAACAGATGTGCCGGGAGCAGGGGAGGAAGGGATCCGGGGTTGCTGCCGCCACCCTTAAGACTCAGATGCGGTCCTCAAAGCCAGGAGGTGGGTGAGGAAAGAAATGTCCTCAGCACCCAGGTGGACACCGGGGATAAGGTACTGGGTGGAAATAGTTGCGGGCCTACGAAAGAAAGGCAAGACAGGCAGGATGCAGTTGGGGAGAATTATTCTGAGGCCCCCCCTTTCCCCCCCCCGCATTAACCAGCACTAGATGCCCGGCGCGCTCCTGAGATTGCTCTTCCTGCCACTGCTTAGGGTTTGCTTGGTCTTTCACCGGGAAAGACTTGGGAGTCATCCAAGAAATTTGAAATCCTCCCGGGCTGGACCCTGGGAGCTCCCGTGACAGTCCTCGGATCTGACCTCCATAGTCTTTGATTTTGAGAGCCTAGGAAGATTCTCAGACTTCGCGCGCTGCCGGGGCGTCTGGGCTCCGTGAGCTGCGGTCTCAAGGCACAAGTGCACAAAAGGTAGCACGAGTCTCTTCTCTGGCGAGCCAAGATAAGAGGAAATGAGAGCGAGGTTTTCTGACTTCCAACTCATTAGGGACCAGGTAAGGTCAATGCTTTCTCTATTATGTCTTTATCTTAAAAGCTGGTCAATTTAAGATAAGGGAGAAAAAAAAATCAAGAATCTGTGTGAACTGTGCTGATAAAGACTGACCCCTTTTCTTGAGCTAAAGCAAGCCGGGCAGACATTCATTTTCTATAAACAAGAGAGTTGTGAGATGCTGCCTTGAATTCTGATCGGAGGTCTCCAGCCTCCCCAGACATAGCTTCCCCTCCCCATCCCCACCCCCACCCCAGTTATTAGAGTTAAGAAGAGTGAGCAGGCGATTTTGTTTGTGGAGAACTAGGAAGCCCATTGGGAAATGTAAATCCAAGAGTATATGATTCCTAGGCTGCTGGCTTGTTTCAAACAGTTACTTTTAAAACGAAAAGCTATGGTATTGGGAAGGATGAGGAGGATGTTTTCCTTGCTCAGATCTCCTTTAAGAGACACCCGAAACCACCCTCATCTGGTCCTCTCAGCCTAGACGGCTAGTGTGTGCTTCCTTGAATGGTTTTGTGTCTGAGGCTTCGACTTTCCCCGCTGGGGTCCAGTTTGGGAATCTGCCTCAACTTGGAGCACAGAAAGTTTTCTGGTGTCTCTTCAGTGAGTGCCTTCTGGAAGGCGTAACTTCTCTCTAGTCACACTCTCCTGCAAGTTTGTCCAATCAAGTGTATTGTTATGGATGAAAATAACTTATGTGTTTTATTGAAGGGGTGGGCTGAGGATTGCATGAACTCTCATTCCCACTCTATACAGTGGCATTTCTGAACTTTCTTTTGAGAATATCTTCAAGGATGGGAGGAAGAGCAGGCTCGGCAAGGGCAGCACAGCCTCTGCCTCATCTAAAGCCATA